TTTTATTTGAATAAGTGAAACAATTAAATGTAAAAAATAAAGAAAAGGGATTCCATCCTTTCCTTTCTAATTATTTTTGTAATTAAATAAAAGAATTTTCTTCACTCCCTTGACCTCTCCTTCAAACCAAACACATTTTTATTTGTTAAAGTTTAGGTCTTGATAATTTCATTTCTCACCTATAAGAGCAAGTTGTACTAAATCCTTAAAAAAAAAAAAAACAAACAAACAAACAAACAAACAAAGGGATGAATAATGGCGAGACAGATGCTCTAAAACTTGTAGGTTTTAGATTCAAGTTCTATTTTGTATTAAGTATATTCCAATTTTATACTGATTTTATATAAAATTTATACTTATATTGAGTGATTTATCTTAAAAGGTTAATTGTTTGATTTTTCAATTTGCATTAAATGTGACATGGATTCTACTTGTCATGATCATCATAGAAAAGAGTAGCTCAAGTACATAAGGATATTTTCTGAAGTCCTGTAAGATTTATGTAATTAGTGCTTGTTTATCCAACTTTTTTTTACTGCAAAAAATGAAGCCAAACCAAACTTGTTTCTTTTTTTTTAAAAAAAAAAGGCCTATGGCCTTTCTAAAAGCAATTTTCAGCTTCTCTATAAACCAAAACTTATGTTAAGAATATGAGAGGGAGGGTTACCAAGAGAAGGAATATCTAACTTCCTTTGTAAAGAAAACCTACAAAAACTAGTACAATTATATTTAAAAAAATGGTGAAGAAAATGAATTTTCTTAATGGAAAATTCAAAACCATCAACGTGAAGAGTGGAAAGCAGATGGAGGAGGCTAAAGCAAACGCACTTAATATATATAGTGAAATTGTCAACCTACTAATGCTTTTTTATATAGTAAACTTCAATACAAAATATGGGGAAAAAAAAAAAAAAGTAACATAAGCATCTCTTGAATCTCTCCAAAATATCCTCCACTCCTTTTTCCTTCCCCCCACTATATATAACCCTTCTGCTCTTAGTGATCTTCGTTCAGATTTTCCTTTCTTTTTTCTCCTTTAACAGCTCCTGTAAATTCTCCCCAAATCCTTCCTACCCAGACTCGGATTCGACAATGGATCCAATTAAAGTAGAGAAATTTCGAGCCATGAAAAGTTACAAGAGAAAGAATCTTTTTGTTTACAACCTTGTTCTTCATTTTCTGGCTGCATTAATATGTAGTTTGCTTTGGTCCTACCCATACTGGTTTCCTTCCCTACATTCTTCCATGAAGCATTTTTGCTTGACATCTCTCCCTTGTATTTGGTCTTCCTTCTTCAATCCAAAGTGCTTATTTGTTGTGGTTAATGTCATTGTCATCTTCCTTGTTGGAGAATCAAAGCTGGTAAGCACAAGCTCCTCTCCATCTGATGATATTTACAATGAATATATAGAAAGGAGCCGGAGTCTCAGGAAAGCTGTCTCAACTTCTCACGAGAAGTCGATGACCATCAAGGATGAGAAAGTTGAAGAAGAAAAGGAAGTTGAACTGATCATCAAAGAAGTGAGTAGTGTCGAAAATAAACAAGAGGAGGAAGAAGAGAAGGAAAACCATGAAAAAGTTGAAACAGTGGAAGAAGATGATGAAGAGAAGGAAAAAGAAGGAGAAGAGGAGGCGGCCAGAGTGCCTCTGACATTGATGGAAGGAGAACATAAAGAACGGAGGGACAAAGATGAAGAAGAAGACGAGTTGCCTATAGAGGAACTAAATAAAAAGTTTGAAGAGTTCATAGCAAGAGTTAACAAACAATGGTGCCTTGAAGTCAATTCATTACTTTCTCTTGAGGCATGATTAGGAGAACTGATCTTGAATGCCAACTTAAAATTGGGGTAAATGGATTTTAGAAGAGCTATAGTATTGTAGGTAGTGTCATAGATTTAGCCACAAACAGGTATTTGTGTTGTGAAAATCAGTCAAAGATTTGTATTGATGATATTCTTATAAAGTTGTAAAAATAATAATTTCCTTTTGGTTACATTTGCGAGGTAAAAGAAAAATAAAATGATTCTAGAGTAAAAATTCATGCTTGTATCACATACTTGATTCCAGGTTCATTGTAGAGTGTTTGACACAGAATAGATTAGTTTTTGTAGAAGTTTTCTTTGCGTAGATTTTTACCATATTACTGATTTATGAATTTATAAAAATAATCATAAAAAGATCTAAAAAAAAAAAGCAGTTTGGAGTTTCTTTTTGTAAAGTTAGAAGCTAAAAACAGTTTTTAAAATATTAAAAGACATTTTAGAAACTGCAATTAGCTAAGTTTTCACTTTCGACACAGATCTTTTTAAAAGCTACACCAAACACCACTACATTTGATTATACGCTTTTAAGATTGATCATCTATACAAGGTGGTACTGGGATGAACAAAGGAAATTTGATCATTAAATAAAACTTGGGACAGGGTTCAGGCTAAGATACAAGATCCAGGCATACAAGCATTCCTCAACTCAACAACAAAAGCAGGCCGCAAAACCACTACAAGATCCTACATGATTGCTAGAGAGGAGGCATGAAACTTGCAGGTTGAAGTCTCAGCGAATCAATTCCTAGAAAAAGGAAACAAGGTAAAAAAAGAATGGTATGCAATTAAATTCTGTGAGAAAAGATAATCTTGGAGAACTAGATTGCATCTAGACATAGGTGAAAAAATTGTCAACTACTTCTATTTGATCCCTACACCACAAAACTGTAGGACTCGTGCCCCTCAGAGTACAAAAGCAACTTTCTCATTGGAAATGAGCGAACAAGGATGGGCAATCAAGGGTTCGTAGTGGTCAGCTCCAGCTCCACACCAACCTACATGTAAGGAGGACTTTAAATATGTAACTTGCAAGCTAGTCAAAGGAAAAGAATAAAGTAATTGCAAGCTTAGCTAAGCACTAAAGGTAGCAGAACTGATGAAAAAGACTCCAATTACCAGTTCCTTTCATGAATAAAAAGATGGGAGGTCCACAGATTTCACTCCTAGGACGATGTGGAAGGAAGAAAACACAGTTTTCTTCCTCAACCATTGCATCTGAACCATGTGCTTGCACCTACAAACAGAGGATAAACCCCAAATTTAAGGTTAGAGAAGAAAGAGGAAAACAAATGGCAAAAATTGACAATCCAGTGCATGTGTGCATGTGTGTGCATACACCTGCATGTGTGTGTGTGTGTGTAACAAACAGTAACTTTATCATATTCAAGTCTTTTTTCTTGTCTCTTTCTCAAATTTCCCTATACCCAAAGCAGTTAGATTAAAAGCTCTCTATTAGCATCAACTCAATTATCCATTCCAACAACTGCTCTACAATTCTAGATCTGCAGCCCTATCAATTTGCATCATGTCCTTAAAAAGCATTAAATATCACCAAAGACTGATGGCATGTGTGTGTATAGTATCCCATCCTTCTTTTAGCCCATTTATTAGCCCTATCAATTGGCATCACTGTTCTTATTCCTTAACAAAACTGCGGTAATGTTCAATTGTGTTGAAAGAACTGGACAGACTTGAATGAACATAGAGGACTTGCCAAGGGAGAACATCCAATAAAATGAACCTTTTATATTCATGAGCCTGAAGAAACTTATGCAATGCTAACAAAGGAAAGAGCAAATGTTTGTCAAGGATCATTGATTAGTGGGACAAAGAAAGTAAAAGAAAGAGATCAAAAGGACATAATTATTTTTAAGTTTTTCACTGGTGATGCAATGTGGATTAAAAAAAAATGCATTGTAATAACTGGGCAAAGGCTTGCCAAAAATAAAAGCTGCCAAAGAAATTGACTGAGGACATGGAGATTAGTAGGCAGACTGTACAGAGAACACATTCCATATAAAGAGGGACAAGAGAAAGCAATTAGGATGCCCCAATCTCAATTGATAATGAAATTAATCAGGCATGTGTATATACCAATAAATCCCTTTTCCACACACAGAAATGTAGCAGGCAACTGGCACAATCACATTTGTGAAACAAATTCAATGCTATGTCTAAATAGCCTCACACATGCACACGCGCACACACACACACACAGCAGGAAAATCTGAAAAACCAAACAAACAAATGGAACACTCCAACTTCTGTTTCAACATGCAAAAATTAGAAAAACTCCTAAACCAATTAGATCATTAATACAAAATCTAGCGGAAACAGCTTACATCAAGTCTCCTTACCACATATATCTCTCGCTTGAACTCCGTTGCAAGCCACTCTATGGCTATATCATCTCCAAAAGCTGCTGCGTGACCTTCTTTATTCTCTTCTACAGATAACAAACCATCCTCAATATATTGCAGAGTGATGATATTATATTCATCATCAGGTGAACCAGAGATTGACATGTATTTGGCCCAGCTCGAACAATCATTCACTGGAATACATCTCCCTTTGTATATAGACTCAGCCGCCATTTTTCTTCAATCAGAAAACAAAGCAACAAATTAAGAACCAATGACACTAAATGCTACGACAATTTTTTAATCAACTGATACAAACTCTCACAGAGAACTAGCACAATCAAACAGATTCCCATACACAAAAAACAGTCATGGGAAATGCTTTAATCTAATGTCATAACCCACAATCCTGAAAAGACCCAATTTTCTACTTTTTCTGCCAGAAAATTTTAAATAACAATAAATAAGACCTCAAATTCTAACATCTCAGCAATTTTTTATATCTAATTAAATGGCAAAGTAAATAAACTCTGGTAAATCTATTCCTTTCCTTGAGTTTTCCATTTTAAAAACAAAAAAATTACTTAGAAATTCAAAAAGATTGAAATTTTAGCATTCCCATTTGTTTTCTTATATTTTCTTACGTTTTCTCAGGAACCAAACGAACATTCATTGCAAAATTATCTAAACCCTTGACCCATAATCAAATGCGCAGATCCAAGAAAGTTATGATCTAAAAAAAATTACCTCTGCATTCCTAGCTGAACGAGTTCGTCAATGGCGGAGTCCAAGGCGACGCGATCCTCCTTCTTGGCCAACAACTTAACCTCTTGAACCACATGAACACGCCATCCGCTCCTCAGATCCGGCGAGTACATATGCCTAATTACCTTGTTTATCGACTCTCTCTCATCCTCGCTAGCAGATCCAAGGTCCTCCACGAACCGCTTCACCGCCCGCCTCCGGAGCTCCCGCGCGTCAATGTCACGCGCCATAGCCCTCTGCGACGCGGTGAACAGGCAGTTCCCATCCGGCGAAACCTCACCTCCATGCGACAGCCGGAACACGACCGCGGAGTCGTGATCCCCGGGCTGCTTCCAGAGAACTCCCTTGGCATGGAGCTTCTGTAGGTGCCGTCTCTGCTGGTCCTCGAGCCCAACCACATCGTCCCACGTTGCCGCCGCGATAGTTGTTACCTCTGTTTGGTCAACGAGATCCACGGCCTCTAAATCCGGTGACTGTGGTTCCCTCCATGACACGGTCGGTGATGAAGTTTGAAAAGTCTCCGCAATGGTTGTTGAATCACAAAGTAATTTCCCCATTTTTTTTCCCCCACGAAATAACTTCCTAAATTATTTTTCTTCAACGAATTTTTAGCTCTCTATTTCCGTCGTGGTCGTCTTCTTCCACGGAAGGTAGAATTACAGAGGAGAGAGATTAGGGTTAACGGATAGATGTTCGACGCGGGACCACGTGGCGAAATCAGGAAAATTTAGGGAATCAAACGTATGGACTCTGTTTCTGACCGAGTGAAAGATGCTAACGTAAGCTAGTGCTTCAGAACCAACAAACCTACGCCACATAAATAATATGATTTTTAAAAAAAATATATTATTATAATATTACATAAAATTATAATTATAAATTTAGTAATATATTATTAAATAAATAATACATATTATATTATAAATAAATTTTAATTATATAATAATATATAAATTTATAATATTATTTAATATTTAATTATAAAAAAATGAGTATTAATTGATATTGTGAAAAATTAAATGAAAAAATATTTTAACATTACATAATTTTAATAAAATTTTATTAAAAAATAAAATATTTTAATTTTTATAATATTTTATAAAAATAATATATTTTTAAAATATTTTTCCCTTAATTTTTTTTCAATCAAGTTAATAAAAATTAATTTTTTATAATTATATATTTTTTATTATTTTCTTCTTGCACTGGACGTTGGAATATTTTTTATTCTCCATTTAGCGCTGGCTGTTTCTGATCCAATGAGATTTAAACACGTGGGAGGAAGCGGGACCCAATGAAGGGACGACCAATGGGATTAACGGAACATGGGTTTGAAATCCACGTGGGGGTAGGCTGAGCTGGGTAGCTATATCAGCTGTTTGCGGTGGTGGCGGCGTCTGGCCGGCGAGGGGTAGATTGGTATTTTGATGATGCTACGCGAGATTTTTGAAATGTGCCACGTAAGCTATATTAGTTTATGTAACGGCTAATTAATCTTGTTTAAGGATAAAGGGTTTGGGATAGGGATTGAATACTTCAGCTTCAACGGCTCTATTATTATTTATTACGTTTTAAAGATTTTGTGGATTATGTACTACTGATAAGGTACCACCAATTTAAGATTAGGTTAAAGCTTCAAATTTTTATAATTTGAAGTAATTAATTATTATATGTATAAAAAATCAAATATGATAATAATAGTACATATGAGGTCCACTCTTGTAAAAATTAATGTTTTAATTTTAAAAACATAATTTTTTAATACATATTTTTAAAAATTAATTATTAAATTTATTATTTTATTCATATAAATTATATATATTAATTTTCAAATTAATTGAATATATCTAACTAGTTTATTGGTTTTACATAATTTAACATTGTTTTTTTTTTATACTAACCCTCCAATGTAGGAAGTCAAATTGAGTTTGACTAATTCAAAATTGAGTTTTGTCTAACTATCTAAGAAAGAAAACTTTTTTGATATTTATTTTTTTATTCACAAAATTTGAAGTTAAAAATTTATTTAAAAAGAATTGAACTCATTTTACTTAAATTAATATGTCTTTGGTAACACTATTTAATATATGTTAGAAAATATAATTTTTTGATCAAATAATTATAAAATTAGATTGATTTAAAAATTAACATGGATGATCTATATAAATAAAATACAAAATTCAATAGTTATTTTTTTTTTCATATATTCATTAAAAAGTTGCATTTTTAAGTTAAGACTATTATATTTTATAAAAATTAAGACTAATATACATTATTTTCAAACCTTATTATATATGAAATAGAAAATTCTTTATAAAAAGAACTTTAAATTGTACATCAATTTGGCCCGGGAAATTATGCTGAATAATATTTTGATCGGTTTCTAAATGATATTAAAAAAATAAAAGTTGAATCTTATTTAATTAAAATAAGTCACATGATATTAATG